GCCTCTAATAATGATGGCTCATCTAATATGTGATTAGCAAATCAATATAATAAATGCAACTTAGTATTCTTTTTATAATCTGTCAGATCCATCATACCAAAATTTCATGCAGTCGTTCTATTCATGACTTGTGATTCAAAGAGATGTACTGCTTAAAATTTGTTTCCCATTCCATTTCAATATTTTCAAATTTAAACTACTTAACACATAAGACATCAGTTCTAATTTTACACTTTTTTCTCGTTTAGTTTTGTACTTCATTTATCCAGATGTAGTTGCTTAGCATAAGGGATAAAATGATTGACATATATCTAGTTGCACTTTATTCGACATGTAAGTTGTTTGCTATATCAGACATAATATTAGGTTATATCATCTGATGTGCTGAGTTGCTCGATTTGTGATCAGCAATTTTATTGAAATGTATACAAATAGCAGCAGCATACTTCGATACATACATTTTATACTGCAGTCTCAAAAAGCTATTGTCACGAATGTTCTAATCTAGAAATTTTGATCAAGATATACGCCAATAACTATTTGTATACTAAATATTAATAATTATAAGAATGTATCAACATATATTGTTTTGATAAATTCATTGTGGTTATTCAGGTTTGGAATTTTTCCACTTTAACGCCAAACATCTGCCAAAGATAATAGCTCATGGAGTTAACAGATATTATACTATACACAAATATGTTATCCAATTATTACATCAACATTTTTAAGCAGTCGAGATATCTAACCTGCTCAGGTACATGAGACAACAGATATAATATAGCCTCAATAGATCAAAACAAATTGAATTGTTCTTTCGTTGTTGTTGATAGGAAATTATAAGAAGTTTTTTTAACAAAAGGTGTCATTATTTGTTAAATATCTTCAAAAATATCCTGCCAACAAACAAACAATTTTTTAGGTAAAGGAATTGTATTTTACATAAAAATAAAAGAAGAACTTAGTTAATCATCAAATTTTTAAAATGAGTCTTAACAACTTATTTATCTTATTTCTAGGATAGATAAATGTGAAATTCTAATTGCTGTTGTTATTGCATTTTTTCAATATCTAGAAATAATAATCATCTTTGCAAAGTTTTAAGTAATAAACTTCATTAGCAAATAATCAACAAAGGTAAAAGTGCTTAACTGAAGGAGAGGAGCTATAGGAACAAGATTGACTTAAGCGTGTAACTAACAAGTTTCAAGAACTTTTGGTAGAATATGGTCAATTTGTGAAGATGTTGCAATATTGATGTATCTATAACAATCTCAATCATACAATTTGATTATTAAACACTGTTACAAAGTATTGGACACCTCCTCTTAAAACCAATACTTTCAAAGTAAACTTGTTCTTTAGATATATCAATTTAACATGCACTGTCTGGTGTATGAGTATTCAAAGTTGAAGGTTGCGAATACATGTTGTTCTCTTAAAATGATCTGCGATTGACAATACAAAGCATTAGAGCTAAACTACCGCAGTTGTATGATGCATCATCATATATATTAATTAACCGAGTACATTTTATACAGGAAATTGGTATATAAAAATTTCAGGTTCCATGAAGAAAACAATATAAAAACTCTAATATCATAAGGTGTAAAAGCAATTTCTATTAATGAAACAAGATCAATCTGTATTTACATTGTTTCAGTTGAAGCAGTCAACAAAAATAAACGAAGGCTCAGTGCATTCTGAAATGAGTATACATTACTTATTTATTATGAATTTCCATCTTTGAATGAAATGTTTATCTTCTACCTTTAACTTGATAAATCATTGCCTTTTACTTATTTTGTCACATACACAATTCAATTATTATGGATTAATCCATTGATGAACAAAAAAAGTTCACTTTTTAATTAAATTGCTTGAGACAAGAGATATTTATAACATAAATGTGCGACAAGTAGCTTCTTAAGTGGTTTGATATTGAAGGTGATTCTTGCACATACATATAGGAATATGTTACTAGTACAATTCAGTTGAATCAGTGTTAAAATATATTTTAGACTGCATTTGCTTAATTCAAACATGGTATTAAAAATGATAAATTCAAAATATTTCTCTAACTTTTACATGCAACCCGCAGTATATAAATTAGTCATTTTTGTGACAAAAATCGTAGAGCGACATCAATGTACTAATGTTAGAAAGGAGTTTAAAATATATAAGATGAATGGATGGATGGTATAAAATGAGTAACTAGCAAAATTTATATGCAAAAGCTTTTGCATTATAAAATAAAAGATCTCCAATTATTGCCATCAACGACAATGGTTGCGCTCAAATTACTTATTTCAAGGAGAATATAAAACTCTATGAGTTAGTGGAGACATTTATCTGCATTTTCTTTTGAGTGCTGGATATCATTTAAATTTAAATACTCTTAATCTAATAATTTGAACTACCGGGCGATTATATTGATAGTCTCTTTAATCTTCTACAGTCATTTGTATTTACAAAGCCTTATAGGCATAATTAACACACAGCAAAAATAATGCTTCTAATACTTTCACTAGTGAGAACATTTAGAATTGAATTAGACAAGAAACTTTAACGACAAGATGAATTAATTTTGATAGCTTAAGCAGTCAATAGAATGTGAATAAAAAGTATCATAATTAGAATACTTTTTGATTATTCTCAATTCATTCTTAAAAACAAAAGCACAGAAAGCAGTTACAGTTTACTTCTAATTCAAATGCCACGATTTTTGTCAACAGTATATACATTATCACTTATTGCTGCCTAGTGTTTATCTTTTGAATAAATGCTAGATGTTCTCTAAACCAAGATTTACACTATGTATTGAGTTTTGAATAATAGAACTTTCATTTTAGATTGCCTAAAGTGATAAGTAACAAGGTTAGGAATTAAATAATAGTCAAGATCTTACATTTGTCTTTTGTTTACGCACTACTGCATTCTCTTTTAAATTAAAATATGTGATCAAGAGTTCTAAGTAATCTGGAATCATGAATCATACCTAAAGCATTTCAAATTTATTACTAGGTTTCACTTAATTCAAAGCTGATAATTGTCATAAAAAAATATCCGTTACTTCAGACTTGCATGTAAGAAAATGTTTCTAGAGTGAGCTCATTGATTCTGCGGATGGAAAGAAGAGAAATATATTGTTAAGATAATAGCCAAAATAATTACAAGGATAAAAAAATAAAATATTGCATTTTAATATTACCCCTCTCCAATATTTTGCAAATTTAAAATATAAATTAATAAGGAAGTATAGGACAAGCGCTGTATAACTAAAGTGAGCGTGAGAATACGGTAAATTCATTCTTAACAGCTTTCTTATTCCAGAAGAACAAGGATTTAAATTAAAAGATGAAATTCATATTACAACATTTAATAAAGTTGAAAAAGAATTGTTAAGCTGGATTTTATTAAGTTATAGTTTGCTAGAGCATGGATTAAAGATGATAATTAATGTCTTCAGCAGAGCCATAACATAAAATGTCTAACTAACCACAATCACAGGCAACAGGAAATCCGACAACTCTACTCCTAAGGAGACAGATTTGAATTTTGTAGTAATTAATCAAAGTGTGCAGAATTAAGTGTTGTACATTAATATTATAGTCCTATTTATAGAATGTGTGTGGTTGATATGCATCTATTATACTTATTAAGTATAAATTAATTGTTATTGAAAAGTCAAATATCACAAATATTACATACTCTTTAAGGGAGGACTACTACTATTTGCATAAAATAATTATTGATGTTGATTAGGATTGCAAGATATGCAGGCTAATTCTGAAGGAGTCATCAATTATGAGATTCAGTTGTCATAGCATGTTTGTTAGACAAAGCTAAATCTTATATTATTAGTGTTTTGATGGTACAACATAATGCAAGGAGGCAGACCATAAAAAACAAGTGCTTAAATTCTTTCGTACATCAAAAACAGGAAGTGCTTACTAAATGGTCAAGCATTTTATGTTTAGTCCAAACTGAACTGACATGGAAATATATATACTAAGTACAATTTTGAATTGACAATAATAATATCAAAATCTACAGAGATCCTCGTCTGTTATATTGCGCCATGCATCATTTATATCTTGATTTAATTAAAGCAAAAAAGAAAATATGATGATTCCGTAAAAGAAGCATTTAGGGCATTTGGAGCATTTAATTAAGTTTAGAAGACAATAATAATTAGTGGTAGTATTATGTGATAATGTATGTATTTGCTATTAAATTTAAAAGAAGTTAAAGAATACAAAACTGCATGATGTAACAACATAAGTCTATATGTAACAAGCTAAGGTAAGCATTCTTTAAGTGAATCATCCTCCAAGTGTTTAACAGTTTTTTAATTATTATGAAACAACCATATAATTAGAAAAGGGTTGACATGATATTTGTACTAGATAATAGTGTGAGGCACAAAAAGTACTAAAATCATAAAACTTCTAGTAAAGAAATATGCATATTAATAGTGCAAGGGCATGATGATTTCGACATTTGTTTGATTCTCTAAATAGAATGGCTTAAATATGTTTTTAAAGATGCAATCATTAAAGTGTAAAACACTTAGTACATTGTATGTGAGTTAAACACAACCATGCTTGTGGTTAATATTCTTCAATAAAGTAGAATGAAGATTGCAAAAATATTTAACTTAGGAAGCAAGGATTGCATTCTGCACTACCTGACTATATGAGATAAGACCTACTTCGGTTATGGATGAATTTCATTAATTTTATAGAGCAGGCCTATCACTAAAAAGACAAAATTAATATTCAGTACAAATAAATAAGGAAAGAGGAATGTCCTCAAACAAAAGCTGCATACTATGGAGGCAAGGATACTTACAACATGTTTCAGAGATTATTGCATGAACTATTTAACAAAATATCTAAAAGCACCTCCAGAATAATTAGCCATCACATTTGATAGTAGGTCCAATCGGTAACTATCAAATATATCAATTTGAGGCTATTTCATGAATATCCCTAGTCATGAAAATTTTTTAAATTGTAATTTGTATTTTATTATTGCATTAGTTTTAGTAAAGAAAGCTTTTGGCCAGCATCTCTATAGATGGTTCAATAATGTCCAAATTAAGAAAACATTATATTATGCCGTTTGGTTTAAATCTGAATATCTATAATAAACAGTTATAAATAAAAATATAACTTACTCCATGCATTATGGCAGGATAAATATAGAATACTTGAATAGGAAGAGTTTTGTGATACGTGAGGTACAGATATTTGAATTCACAGGCCTTCAATTTATTTTTTAATAACTCTTGCAGACAGAATATCAATAAATTTAACACATGGCTCCTTCTATCAAGCAGATAAGAATAATTTTAGCTTTTTCAAACATTTAGAAGGAGCCAATAATGATAAGATCTAAATAGAGTCGTCTCCTCAATTTCCATATAATTAATAAGGATAAAAAAATAAAAAAGTAAAATACTACTCAATCTGTGACTTTATTCTGCTTAGTTTAGATCGAGAAAGCTAGACCATAGTTAACAGCACACATGTATTGTAAGAAAATTTGTGATCCGCTTTGTTAGAGAATACATAAATGCTGATATCAAATACTCTTAGATCAGCAA